ACTTGAAAACCTGTCGAGGTTTGTGTAACTTACTTGTGGTCGAAGCCATAAAGAGTATAAGTAATGCAGGGTGTGGAGACAAGACTGTACATCTAAACCACAGCTTGCTAGCTGCCGTTCCCGAACTTCAAATTCATAACACCCTGAAAAATTTTAACAGCATTAATTTTCTTTACCACTTTACCATACATTTCCATGCAATACTTTTATCCAACAAAACCAGAGGGGATTCTCTCAGACAACTCAACTATTTAAGCAAACTAATCACAACTACTTGAAGATTCAATCTTCTTATGCCTTCACATGACAATTAAAGCACTAAAGCTTTCACATCTATACTGTTACTTTCAATGCCTAAATATAAAAGTACATTTCTGACTATGCATGACCCATAAAAGAGGCAAGGAAACACACCTGTTTGGAGCACAGTTTCAGGAGAGTCTGGCGGCTCGGCATGGCTATTGAGAGCAGTAACCAGGTATTCAACTGACACCTGACTCAGCTGGTAACTAGGTGTCTGCCTCGGCCCTCCCTTGATCAGATGATGAACTTCTCTTAACCTCTCATGGAGCCGGAACATGATCTCTTGGAGCTTCCTTCCAGATCTAAAATGATTTCAAGTTCATCAAATGAATGTACAAAATAACAGCCTAATAATAAGAATAACCACATTATAAGATATATATTGTAGAAAAGGTATGAATGAGAAAGAATATCTTCATTGTGTAAGAGATGTATTTGACCAGTTTTGATTATATTTCTCTTAGAAATACATATATCAAATACTTAACTTCTACTAAAACCTGTCAAAAACATTTTTGCACTTTGAAGATATACATTAATTTCAAGATATTCATCTCATTCACACATTTTCCACATTACTATTGCATTTCAAGTTACACAAAGAAAAGTTTCATACTGTATATACAGAAAATAAATGTACATCAACACACAAATTACAAAATGTTGGTATCAGGAATAAATAACATGTTACTACTTACTTAGAGGTTAGGTAAGGGGGTGGCTTATCTCGTGGGATATTCAACAAGTGTCCGCTATGGGGATTGCCCGGAAGTGGGAGCAGCAGAGTCTGTACCAGTAGGGCAGTAATCCCTCTTACAGCCAGTGATAAACTCTGTAGAATGGAGAAAAAGAGTCTTGACAAACAAATTCCGAAGACAAACTTTTATCTGGGCACTGTGTGTATGAATTTTTTTTTTTCAAGAATGTCGATTTGGTAGCTTCCCGGATTTTTTAAATTTTGGCTACAAAATGTACCCCGGCGCGGGTGGGTTAAACAAGAGAAATTCTGCTTTACCAAGTTAATGAAGGGGAGTTCTTCAGCAGGTGTGTTTTCACTAGGAGTAGAGTTCAGGACACATAACAGTGCCATCCACGTCTCTTCAAACTGATGTCGACCAATCCAGCCAAACAATTCCAGTCTGCAATATTTCCAAAATATTAGTATCATAAACACATATATGTAACTCAAGTCTTCCAACACAGCTAAATATTTCCATGATCAATTTAATTAAATCTACTCTTTTCTCTGAGAAAAATTACAAATAATACCACAAAATTTACACATTTCTAAAATACAAGACACTCTCCATCTAAGAAGGAAAACAAGTAAAGACAACTAACCTGAATACAAACTGCTTCAAAACATCTGTCTCCTGTAAGAGATCATTATGGACTGGTGGTAAAGTTGTACCGTTTTCTCCTGAGAACTGTGGAGACCAACCAAGGGTCCACACATCTGGAGGTATTCTCACAACACTATTCACTACTGGCATCCGGCCAACACCCATTATGATGCCTCTGAAATAATTTTCAGTCTTGTTCATATTTGAAGTAGTAAAGAGAACATTCACTTAAATCTAATTTTGGAGTTTTTCACACTGGGATATCTGTATTCTTAAAAGATTTGTTCTTGAAACCAATTTATCTTCAACCATACTCAATGCAGTAGTTTTGAAAAGGAGTATGCAAAATCTTAACAATGAAGCAACATTACCTATCTAATTATCTACAAGTCAAGAACCACAATACTTACTTAATTGGCTGTGCTATACAGGCTGGTAAATCACGTGCACTGCCAGCTTCCAACCAGGATATCAGCTGCATCAGCCTGCGACAAGCCACCAAGGGACTGCTCTCTCCATCATTCAAACACTGGCTGAGGGCACTTGGCAAACTGTGAAAATGGAATTCCATTAGCAATTCAGCATAATAACAAAAATAAAGAAAACATGAGCTCAACTTGTGCTTTCTGTAAAAAATATTTTATACACACACTAAAGATCTATACTGATAAGCAAGGAACCATCAATACCTTGGAAAAGCTCTAGGCTTGATAAGATGTGAGGCTGCTGCATGTAGAGCTGCTACCATAGAGCAAACATATGATATTCTCTCCGAGAGGCCCATCAGGTTTGCCAAAGACCCAGTGCGTAGAACTGTGTCCACACATGATAGGCACAGACTCGCTACTTCTATGCTAACACTTCCTAACCACACTTGCCAATGCAGATACTGAAAGAAAAAACATTGGGAGTGGTGACAGTAAAGCATAATATCAAATATACACAAATTTCTAATGTCTTGAAATTTGTCTACTTGTAAATTACATTGACCTTTATATCAAATATGCTTTTCAAATTTACATCCAGACACTATTAATAACAACTCCTGGTGATAACATAGCATAAGTGTAAAGATCAAAAGATACAAAATCAACATGTGAACCTCCTATTATGATACCTTGTACTGATAATAAACAAGATGAATCTCCAACATTTGCTGTGCAACAACTACCAATGCTTAACTAACTTGACATACTATCTGAATGACTTAAATTATGTGAACATAAAAACAAATAACTAACAACAGATTTCCTCCTAATTCCTACATTTTCCAGAGATTCTGATAGCTTTAGTAATACTCAACACTAATTATGTGAAGAAAAATCTGATTCTAAACCATGGATAAGCTCTCTTACCTCCATGGCCAAGAGAGCAAACCGTAGGATGTGTTCAGAGCTATCTGGCGGGATTTCTGCACCCCATGGAAGGCGGGTCATGGCAGTGAGGTATTCGATCAGCGCCGGTGCCAAAGTATCCACCACACTGCCAATACCATCATCACCAGAGAGAAGCTTGCACACCCTTTCACTGTACTTGTTACCCCCACCTGTTCAGAAAATAAGTAAGTGGTATCAGATAATTGAATCTCTCTACCATTCTTTCTGAGACTATAAAGGCAAGATCTAGCCGGACAGAACTGAAATGACAAAATGTAAAATTTTTTTTCTTTATTTTACTTCACTTATACATATATATATATATATATATATATATATATATATATATATATATATATATATATATATATATATATATATATATATATATATATTTTATGTACTGCAAACTACACACAATTCTTTTGCACTGCTTCTGAACCATTGCTAAGAATTACCTGGGGTGAAGGTGTGATGTGGCCTTGGCAATGAACCTGCCACCTGTGCTAGGTGCTGCAGGAGAATCACTTTGCTAGCAGTGTAGAGTGGTGCTTCTCCTGTTCTCAACTGCTACTGCACTCCTCACTGTCTCCTGCACTGAGCTATTGCACTCACCCCAGTCCCTATTTGCCTGTTGAAATAAAGTATTTTCTATCAGTTGGAATAAATACCGAAGGAAATCTAACACAAAACTTATCCTTTTTCCCAGGGCAGAATACATGAAAAACACTACAGCCACCAGCATTTCATTTCAAACTACCTGCACAGTGGTGGTGAGTCCAAGCCTGAGAGTGTGGGTCAGGAGTGCCGTGTTGAAGGACTTCCCGGACATGATGTTGATGATCTCACTGTACTCCAGCTGACTCAGCAACTGCCCACATTCTAGGCCTCCACCTTCCCCCTGGGTGCACCTACAAGAAATGTGATGAGGGTTATAGATTCATAACGAAGGAAATTACAACTATCACATTTCCATAAAAAGACAAATAATCCCACTTATTAATCAACAAAAATAATAAACTGTGAAGGGGACCCATATTTAGCTGACTTAGAACTACTGTCATTTTACCTGTTTCGAACAAGCTGAAGGTACCAGTTGAGATCTAGTCGAGTGTTGGCAGGACCTTGGAGTGGTGGGCTGATTGGAGTTGCTTCAGTGCACGGAGAACTAGCAATGCCATGTACCTGTCCTAACAACCTCTGCAACAAGCCATGCATCTGCCCATACCTGTTGGTTTAAGGTCACAAGTCGCTTAGCATGGAAAATAGATCAATGAAAGAATAAGAAAATTATTTAATGTGTTGTGTACTTGAAGAAAACATGAAAAAATTACATAGCTCAGTGAAATCATCAGTTCCATTCACGTAATCAACAGAGAAATCTTGAAATGTCATTGCTGAAAAAAACAGATATAATTCCCCTGCACATAACAAGAAAAAGAAAAAAGTAAAAAATAAACAAATATAATTCACATAAAGTGTTACCTCTTGTTCAGCTTGTTTTCCTTCATATAATTCAGAATTTTTGTTAGGTCCTCTAGAGGCAGCTGAACAAGGACTTGGCCTGGGGGCATGGCTAGAAGAAGATGAAGGCGCTGGGTTGCCAGGGAACAAGCAGCACGAGTGACAGCCAAAAAGGGTGAGGCAAGGAGCCGCTCCACCAGGAAAGTTATAAGGGCACCAGACTGTGATATGTGCACTCCTGACACCAATGATATAATGTGGCCCCCATATTCTGCCTGGAAAACAATGATAAAAACAAACATTTGATTTAAAATAAATAAGAAAAGTCTAAAGAAAAATGGGAGAAGAACAGCTACCCAATTATATCCACAAAAACTAACTCAAGTTGTGAAAACAGTGCATGAAAACAGCACATTACATATGTATTACAGAGACCAATACCTTCTGCACATGGTCACAACGAGCATGGATGGCTTGAATAAGGAGCGCTGAGGCCGCAGGTGATGAGTGTATGGATTGAATAAGTGTGGAAATTGGTGGCTCTTTATGAAGGATAACAACATCACTTATGTGTTGTACAACCAACCATGTCAGCCACTCTCCTTCCTGCATGTGTCGAACCTGAACAAAGGAAATATTAATCTTGATTCAGTAGTGACTTTAACCTTCTTCACATATCTGACATGTCACAAACTTTAGTTCCTAAGGCATGTATAGGCATATCATATATAAAATTCATACACAATAAAGCATACGATATACAATATCCTCCCAATCAACATGATACACCTATGGACTTGTGATCAACCAACAGTAGGTTTTGTTCTTTCTGTCCATTCCCCATAAACTTATCCCCGCCCACCATCATCCCCAAATCCTAACTCAGTCTAACCCAGCTTCTACATCCTGCCAACTGCATGAGAGTTCTCACACCAAAATCTTTAGTTTGACTTGATTTTAGTTCAAATATACCCACTGACCATCAAAGCAGCTACAGCCATATCCTGGAGTCTGTCAACCACATGTCACAAAGCCCATCATTTAGGAATTAACTTAAATCCTTATCAATACATACATTTACTGTCAAATGGAATACACAGTTAACATGCTAAATGCTGTACTCACAACAAACTCAGAGAAGACAAGTAATCCACATCTTCTCAAGAACTCCAGAGGAAGGCAGCTGGAGGGTCCACTAGCCTCACTCACCACTGGGCTGCTGTGTTTTCAGACCATGGAGTAGGAAAAATACAAGAATTACACATTGCAATATACAAGCACATCAGCAATAAGGACAATAACTCATTCAGTACATTTTGCTTACATCTAATAAGCAAAATATGTGTAGTCTACTTATAATATACTAAGAAAATAGTCTTCACTTTCTTAAACAATGCAACACTGATTGGTAAATTAATACCTGATACTCGTAACTGATTTCCGCTGGCAAGTCCTTAAGACACGTGTCCAGAGGTTTTGTGAAGTCAGGTCTAAACAAGTCATCAGTTTGCACCATAAGAGTGTGAGAGGAGGATACCAGCCAGATACAGAGAGCAAAGCTTCACTTATTTCTTCCATAAGCTCTGACTCTCGACTGCATATATCCTTCAGAGAGGTGATAACATCTCTCCACTGACCTAAAATCAGATCAAATGGGATGCAATATCTCAAAACATGTTTCAAAATTCTTTTAATAACAGCAAATAAGTATCAGTATACAAAAATATATATACTGCATAACAAAGAATGCATTTTAATACAAACAAACATAGAAAGTTATTCCCCCAATACCATTCCATGTACATATTTACTATTTGACAGACCTTAAACCTACCAGAAATAGTGAGATGCAGGAGAGTAAGAAGCAGGTGGTGGGACAAATGTACCAATAAGCTGGGGGTGTGTTGGCCACCTTTTCCATCAGGTGGAGGCCCACTATTCAACAGGGACAACCGCACACTTCTGATCTCACTCACACTGACTCGCACCACTTCAAGCAGAAATCTGGAGAGTGGGGAATTAAGAACTCTGAAAGGCTTATCCATAATGTAAAACTAAAAACTAGTTTTAGAGTAAGATAAAAAAAAAAAAAAAAATGAGAAGAAAATCCAAATGAAAATAATTCATATGGCTGTTGCACATAAATGTTTTGAAGAGGGTCAAGAAATGCCTATATCAGTGAAATAGCTTTCAAAAGACTAACAAGAACAACCTTAGTAATAATGATTAAGCTAAAAAAATCAAATATCATACCAATGATGAGTATTATAAAATTATCAGCATTATCAGAAACAAAAAAATAAATAAAACTAATAAAAAATATTCACTTCTAAACCCTTCACCAGTCTTATCATACCTGGCCATTGCCACTTGAGGAAGAGTCTCTGGCTGTGTCACATTCAGAGGATCTCTAAAGCCTGAGGCATGGTCTCCGACCTGTGGAGAGAGAGCCTCTGATCCACTTGGTGTAGGTCCTGGAGAGGTGTCAGATGTTACATCGCTGTGCACATAGTCCATACTCAGCCCCAACTCTTCAAGGCGTGCAAGGACCAACTCTGGGGTGGAATGGGTGATAAGGCTCCGCAGCAGCAACAGAACGCTGCCCACCCAGCGTTCAACACCCACTGTGCTCTCCTGAGGATGGGATGCAAATGTTAAGGCTCTACTTGCAGTCTGATGTAATTAGTCATATCTATAATAAACATGAAAAATTTAAATTAATATAAGCAAAGATCATGTCAGACAGAGGAAAGTTTGTGAAAGACAAATAAATTCTAGTTGGGTAGTAGGGGAGAGGGAGCAGAAAGAGAAAGAAAAATTTATCTTAATATCAAGTTAATCATTCTACCAGTTCACAAGGCGAAGTGAAGAGAGCCTTGAGTACACAGTCGACTGGCCGGTAGACACTGGGACAGACACCATTCATGACTTCTTCCACAGCAGCTAGAGAATCCTGTGACAAAGCAGATATGTAATGGTTGAAAGTCATATCTTATATAATATATATATTCTAAAAATAATAGTATCTTTCTGTATAACCTTTTCATTATGCAAAATAATAAATTCTTATCAGCAATCATTATCAGTGTTTAAACATATTACTCAAGAATGCTAATCTTTTATCATCATAATCTTAATAATAATTATTATTATTACTATCACTATTCATTTTCTACTATCAGATACAATAAAGGTCTTTCTTACCTCTGAATCCAAATTAACTTGTAGCTTGGAGAGGAGTGGTAGAAGAGTGTCAATCACTTGCCGAGACAATTTCCTCCAGCGCTCCCTGTTGCTCTCCATGGTTGCTCCAAGCACCAGCGAAATCAGGCGCAATACCTTTCAAAATTCACAAGTTATGACACTATTCGTAAGGAACTATTACCTGAAAATATATATACCTTTACGGAGCTTTTTTTCTTTCCTGTTCCACATCATGAAAAATGTATAAAACATCAAGTACTATACCAAGCACTATTATTTCCAAACCAAAAAGATTTTACCTGGTGATAATGAGCCAAACGTAGCAGCATGGAGCATAAGACCTCCCTCTGAGTGTCTAGCTCCCTCTGGTCTGTCGTGCTTGTGGTGCTCCGGACCAGAAACAAGTCTTCCACCAGAGGCTGTAAGGCTAGTATACCTAATGGGAGGCATTTGCTAAATTAATTCATAACATTATGGAAGTCTAAATGCACTAAACTGTCTAGCATTTTCCCTAATTTCACCTTACTTTCTATTGACTTTTAATGTTCAGCATTTAGAATTTCATCATTTTCACTTACAGTGTGAGAGAGGAGGCTGTCCACTAGCCATAAGACCATCACATAACTGCATAATCTTGGGAACACCAATGATGCTCTTGCTGTGATGTCGTTCATAGGACAAAAGCACCAGAAAACGGAACATGGAAGGAATCAACTCTTCTGCTGACCTATGTGAAGAGAAAAAATTAGTTTTCACATATATCAACTTTGTTGCTTCATCAACTGTCATTCACAGTCACATGTAAGCCACATTAAACAATAATTCATCATTAAATTTCATTTGGACTAGTTAAAACTCACTTGATCTGTCCTTCCTCAATGTACTCAAACTGCTTGATGACATATCCTATAAATATCTGATCCGAGTCCAGCAAACAATAATTAACCCGAATCTGCACCAAGTGGATTAGGAGCTGGAGCACTGACCGTTGCATAATTACATCACTTGACACTGTATAGAGCTGAAGATTAAAATATAAATGTTATCTTGTGCATATTTGCTTAGGTAACTAAACAAATATGATGTAAAATGACAACAAACATACCAAATCATTTCATTGGAATAGAAATAAATAAATAAATGAAAATAAATAAATGCTCACCTTTAATGCTTTGATGACTAGTGGCTCAAAAAGCCTTATGTAAGAACTCAAAGATGACTTGTCATTTCCTCTTCCTAAGGTCTTGAAGAGACTAGAACTTCCCTTTCTTTGATTAAGTGTGAAACTGAAAAGGGAAAGGAATACAATCATTATCTTAATGATTTACATTTAAAAGAAATTGGTAGTCAAGGAAAATTTCTGTGATTGCCAACTACTGTTCTTTAAGACTTCCCGTGGCCACCAAAAGGAAAATGATGACAGTAGATTAAGTCACATGCAAAAAGACAAGAGATTCTCACCTTATAGGTTCACTGTCCTGCCGCGCCTCAGACATGGCAGTCAGGTCATCTTCTAGCTGGGACAAAGGCTGGGTAAAGCAACGTTGATGTAGACTAATAATTTCTGGTCCTTCATTAGCACTCTCACCACCAGTTCCCATAGAATCTGTTGGCACTCTTGAGTGATGATCTGATCCCTTCCTACCCAAGTGCTCAAAGAGTGCCATCACATTTGAACCAAACAAGCACTTTAACAGCTGAAATACGTGAAAAAATATATATTTTAGTAATCCATTGAAATCTAAGCATTACTTCTGCCTTTTCATATCATACAGTGACAGCACAAAACTATATATATACATGTTGACACTTGAATTAACTAAGCTAACCATTCTTTAGTTCAGTCATAAATTCAATGGAGAGAATACTTTACTATTTTTCAATCAACACTTAGCTCACCTGCTGACCACACTGTACAGTTAGTGTGGGAAGGAGAGATGTCACCACCTTCAAATACTGCAGGATTTCTTCAGCAAGCCTCCCAAACTCTAGCATGGAGGCGACTTCTAGTATCCTTCCCAGGCTTGTCAAGGTGACACGTAACAATCCGCAAAGTTTCTCCATTGTGTTTTCTTCTAATGAGATCTAAGGGGGAGATGCAACATTATCAGTCAAAAAAAAATTAAGTATAGTCAGTAGTGGTATGGATGTCAAGCCATCATTTCATATCTGCTCACTATTTTCTTTCTCCTTAAAACATCTATTAGATATAAAAAAAATAACCTTAAATAATAATAATAATAATAAAAAATGAATAAGAAAATCAAAACAAAATTATGCACATCTCTTCATATTACAACACAGTCATTCTGAAATGATGATCTCACTTACCTTATAATTGGCATACGCATTTTTCAGTACATCATACATCTTAATGTACTCTGGGAGATGGAAAAATGACCCAATAGCTCCTGGCTTTGATGATTTTCTTTCCTTTTCCTCATTGTCTGATGGAGAGAGATAATTCCTTAGTTAATGTGAGATTAATTTACAACTACAAAAATGTGAGTGGGACTTGAAATAACTTTAATGTATATCATTTCTATAAGAAAAAAATATGTGGGACATTAAACTAGCATATAACATAACAGAAGATGAACAAAAAAAAGTAATTGAGGACAAAAAAAAATGAAGGAAAAGAAGATGGATGGAAGAGAATGAGCGAGACACCATTGGTGATGGAGAAAGAATATAAAAGGAGGATGAGGATTAAAGAAAAAAGATATACCAACAATAAAACAGATTGACATGACATAGCATTGGTAACATACCATGACACATTTAATATAAGAAGCCAAGGTCTACTTTTTATACTACTATCTATGCCACCTACTCTTTGAAGATCAGTTTTTCTTTGGGTTGTACAAAATACCAGTAGACATGCTGTTCATTTTAATACACTTCATTGAAATTGTTAGGCAACACTTACCCCCTTTGTCTCCTTTGCTTGGAGAGTGTGTACGATTTTTATCACCCGTGGTTTCTGCTCTTGTTCTTCTCTGTGGTTAGAATAACACCAGAATTATAAGACTACCCATCAAATACCAGTCATTACAACTTGCTGGAGTTATTAATACAATAATTTAACCTGGGTTATGAAGTCTTCTTACTACCCAAAAATATAATTCTAGTCTAAACTGCAGCTTTATTTAAAATCACTCATAAAAAACATTCTGTTCCTGATTTCCCACACAATTTCATGGAAGTGCAGTGACAAGTGCTTTTTACCTTTATTGGAGATATAGCAGTCTGTGGATTCAGAGGGGCCAGTTGAGGTCGAGAGCCAGGTGTGATCTCCTCCAAGACATGGGTATAGACACACAGTACTCGCAAGATGTGCTGGACAACTGCCTCCACCACTGTTGACATCTGTAACCCCAAAATAGGTTGTACTGTGTTAGTTGACATGGTTTTGCTGTACGATGTAACTGGTATAGCTTCTCAACCTTCATATTTAGTAGTTTTAGATTTTCATATATAATGAAAGTTGTGTAAAATCTATAGAATGAATACTGCAAATTCTAGAATACGGGCTATAAAATTAATCTTACCTGTTGGGATCCTAATAGCGACCATGGCACTTTAGACGTTGATATGTCATCCCTTCCATGTCTCAAAGACTCAACAGCAATTCCTGAGGAAGGATGAAATATCAGAAAATGTTTTGTGCATTAAATAAATACACATACATATATTACAAATAAACTTATATAAACATAGACATGTATACACATAAGCATACACCAGCACAGCACAAGCACACCTACCTAGGCATAGACACATGTACAGATACATAAATGAACACAAACACAGACACAGTAACATGTACACAAACCTAAAAAGGAAAACAGCCACAAAAAGAAATTAAACTCCATTGTGATGTTTCAAACTCTTCACAAGTTCCTCAACAGATGAATAATTAACCTAAATGGATTCATTCCAGATCATTATTTATCTGGAGAGTTGTGAAGAGTTCAAAAAGTTACAATTCAATTTCATTTCTTAGTGTGGCTGTTTTCCTTTTCAGATACATATATATTCATCTTACCAGTGAGGATGTTCGAGGCAAGAGTGAGTATGTTCTGTTGGACACTGAGGTCTCCTGCCAGTGGTGCCTCACCAGCCAGAGAGAGCACCAGTGTGATTAAGCCAATGTGTATATTGCTGTCACTGGAGGAGAGATGTTATAATTATAATGGTGAAACTCTAAATATGTGCATAAGAAACTATGAGAGCAAGAACAAATCACTCCTTTGAATTAAGAGTTCAACAGCCTTAGTAGTCACAGGCATATCCACTTTCATGTTGTAATTTCAGCACCAGTTTTAAAAAATCAAATACAATACCTTGTTTGCATTTGAGGAATGTGGCATCCCCAGGCAGCAGGATACAAAACTGGAGGATAGTGTTCACTCAGCAACGACAGAGATTCTAAACATCCAAGCTGATGAAAAAGCAATTACCATTAGACTAGATGCAAGACTAAAAATTTCATAATGAGATCTAGGTTATTGTCAGAGACAATGAGCATAAAACATAAAAAAAAAGTATTAATAGATCTCTATACTTACCATGAGGAACTTGTTGTTCATGTTCATCAGATGAGTTGTTAAGGCATAAATGAGGCGAGAAAGGCTCTGTGAAACTCCTACATTTTTCAAGTCTAAGGAGATTCCAAAAGACTGATGACATCTGGCACTGTAAAACAGAAATATAGTTATTTCATATATCTTTTGGCAACTTTACAGTCTGTTCTCCAAATAACTATATACATATATGAGTAAAGAGATGGACTTAAATACTTAAACAGAGATGGGGACACGAACAGATGGGAGGCAAGGCAGGCTAAGACAAATGATGGAGAGACTGTGAGTCATCCATCTTTCCTTTGAGGCGTCCCGGAGGATTGATGTTTGGATGGCACCAGGCGTCCCGGACGTACTAGATTGGATGCCACTTTCTGGATGAGATTACCACTGCTCATTAATTCTGGAACCAGTCTGAAAGAGGCGAAGAAGAGGTTTGATGAGCACTAGAAAGTCTACTTGTTTCAAGTAACGTGTCTTTTTAGAGACCAACAATGAGAGTTTATAACATAGTACAATTTCAGAGGATTTTTTCTTCAAGGGCAGTTGAAATGTCTCAGATTTAAGTACTAACTTCATGCATGCGGTTCCTGCAGCTGTGCGAACTCTAGGGTCTTGATCTGCCAGCAAGGGAATTAAAACTGCTGTCAAAACACGATGCGAGAACCTGTCTGACTGCCTCAACGAAGACATCATTGCAACAGCACCACCTGCACTTGTGTATGTACTGCTGCTTTCAACATGATCTATGTAGCTTAATGGAAGTCCTGCCAGCAGGTCACACAATTCAACCTGTGATGAAAGAAACCATTTCAACTTTATGGCACTTCATTAATACAAAAACATGAATTTCACTTACAATTACTTCTACATTATACAAAGCAAGTTTTGATTACTTTGTATTACAAGTTAAGGATGGCTTGTCCAAAAATAAGTCCTCTCATGGGCCCTCCTCTCCCTCAGCCAATCACAACGTCATGTTTTCCTGCCTCTATCATTTCATGAATGAAACATAGTGAGTATCAAACAGATCCAACATCACACTGGCGGGACGCCCGGCAATGTTTAATTTTCTGAGTGTCTCATATATGGGTCACCCGTCGTAAATGGGTTAAAGTTGAATAAATAGTGTGGTATCTAAATATAACTCATACCTGTAGCCAATATTACGTTACACTAAAGAAATAAATCTACGTTTCCTTACCTTGACTAACCAATATAAATTTGAGCCAGTATTGACAAGATGTGGGAGGACGGCAAGAACTACCCCAGCATGCCAGGAGTGCAAAAGTTCTCCAAGGCACAACCCTAGACCACTGACAGCTCCTCGTGATGTCACACTAGATTCACTACCTAGTAACTGTAAAAGAAGTTCATTAATCAGTAAAACAAATAATATCTTTTTATTCATAAACATGATGAGTAAGATAAAAATGAAAAAATAATCATTACAGAGGTTATATATTGACTGTCATATGTAAATATCCTGTAAATATACACACCTTGCACAATATCTCCAACAATGAGGGCAAAGCCAAGCCAGGTCTCCCAAGATCATTATACTGTCCACAACCATGGATGAGGCTGGCTCGGATGTACTGGCCAACAACTGTGCCAACACTTGCTCCCAGCTGAGGATCTGAGTGTCTGTGAAACCTCAGGATGTCATCGATATGTTGCTCTAGTTCTGGTAAGAAAGAGAACTTTCAATTAAACACAGACACTGGCCTACACTGTCACATGGTCAGAAAATTCTTACCAAATCTACCTTTCAAAATGTGGTCTAGTGACATGACATGAGTAAATAATGAGACTAAAATTATCCATGAATTCAGCTTACTAATCTGCTGTATGATGGAAGTTATTCTGAAATTTAAACCAATAAGAATAGAGTACAATTAAAAAAAAGTTTTCAGCATATATCTTTCAAATACTTTTCAAAGAAACATTCAATACTCACCAGTTTCCCCTCCACTTGTAGTAAAGAGAGGCTCAGCCATGAGGGAAGGCATAACTGTGACAGCTAATCCTACACAGTTGAGGGCCAGGACTTTGATGCTCACCCTGACCATCTGGTCAGGTATTAGCGACCCAACATGACCCGAGAGAAGGAATGAGGAGGAAAGGTATCGCACAAGGTATCTAATGGGGAGACTCTCATCTAGAAATGATCCAATGGCACCTCCTGCCTGTAATAATATCAAACATTACTATACACTTTCAACAAAAATAGATTCTTATTTACTATCTATAACAGTAATTCTTAAACTTTTCAGGCCACATACCACATTTCTCTCCTACTTTTCACCACACATGATAATTTTCCCACTCACTCACTTTAGTACACAGATCTGATCATGCAGATTTTACCATATTTTATAGCCATTCATGAAATGAAAACAAAAGACATATAGGATTTGAGGATCCTGAACTATAGTATTCGCATATTTTTTCTTCAACTTGTAAACTGTTTGAAAATTTTACATGACCATACACACTCCTCATAGAAAAGAAAGAAATCTGATTATATAAAAGCTTTCTTGATTTATTTTCTATTATAACACATTTACTTACTTTATCAGTACCCATAGCTTTGTCATCAAGGGATTTGTTATGTGAATGTGATGATATGTGCTGAATGTGTTTCCTTTTCTCACGATCTCCATTGCGTTTTTCACCGTTAAGGTCCATCTCTCCTCTTCCAAATAGTAATGAAGCATCTCCTAAAAAATCAATGAGTTAACGATTTATTTCAGTGTGCTTACGCTGTTACTAATTTTCCTTTTTTTAATGGCCTTCAATGTTCAATATCCTGGAATCATCTAACATAATAGCAACAGTATTCAGGAATGCTCTAACTGAAATGAACTCACCTGACACTTTGCCAATCTCGATGCTGGAGTAGAGGCTGCTATCATTCTCATCAGCATCAACCTCTGTCAATGACTCTTGCCTTCCCTCTCCTCCTCCCCCTCCTCCCCCTCCTCCTCCTCCACCTTTATCATCTTCCTCTTTGAGTCCCTCCTCCAGGTCTATCTTACCATCTGGTGTGTCAATATCTATGCTGACCTTCCCACTGCCTCCCTCCAGATCCAGCAGAAGACTGTCTTCTTCATATAATGAAGGAGCAACACTAATCTGACCTGGAGAACATGTTTTATTTAGTAGAACCATACTGGGCATGAAATTGGCTATAATGTTGCTGTCTCCAAAGAACAGGGTACAGATACCATGGAGACAGAGCCATGGGGCTCCACAAGTGCTGTCTCCAAAACATCAACTATTAGTCTATCTATTGCACCTATTTTCCCTTTTCTGTGATTTTTGGAAATATTCTTGTTTATCTTTTATCATCATAATAACCATAATGCCAAAAATAAAGGTATGGGGAAACCAGGGGCAGTCATTAGTGTCTACTAGTTGACTGATTGGTGGCTCAGCATTTGTGGATCCATCTGAGTGCAACAAAATTCACAAAAAAAACAACAGTACATTAAACTGCAGCCAAAGAGTTAACTGTTTGTTCTTTAGTGGAAAATTTCAATTGCAGTTCTGAAATAACAATAAATTGCAGTTTTGCTTTACATTAGACAATTTATTGAATTGCAGATAATACATTTAATAAACAATTCAACATTCTCTTTCATCATCATATAATAACTAAGTACACTGATTATCAATGTCATTTGAACTATCTAAAATAGGAAAATCAACTACTGTTTCAGTAAGAAAGAGGATGAATGATAGGTTTAAAAGAAAACACAGTCTGTACTATAACAGTGCACTCTGGTATAATGTACCAAAATCACAGTTTAAGTGGATAAATTCCCGGAAACTCACTTGGTGCCCTTGAAGATAGCTGACTAGCTCGTGGGTCAGCAAAGATCCTCGACCTTGTGATGCCTTCTGGTGCTGTGAGAGTCATCAGGAGAGCAAGAGGAGGGTTCTGCAGCAAAGTCTGAAAAGAAAAGAACATCATTCTGCTGAAGAAAGACTTTTAAACAAGAATCAAAAGTGCCACCACCTCTTAAGTTTCTATTAATACTTTTGAGGAGGTACGTATATAGATACACAGCATATGAAAATACCAAAAAAAAATCCTCTAGGAGGTTGCTCTTACCTGAAGAGCCTCAAGACTTGCTGTGATGATATTATGGTCTGAGTGGGAACTATAATGCAAACAAAGCTCATACACCTGTAAGGAAGATATGATCATCATATAAATTTTTTTTAACTTTACCGTCCTATTTTCTTACAAAGAGTCAACTAGCAGTAGAAGAAAAAAAAAATAATATATGCATCAAAAAAAGAAACAATATATTTATCAAAAGTTCAATGATTTGTGACATGACGTATATCATGATATTTTCTAGCACCATGCACACCTTAAACTCCTGTAATTCCTTGTGGCCCAAAATATCCTCTTGTAACTGTCCCATAAAAAATATTTTTGTCTTTATTTACCTGAAGTGTTTGGTCATATGAAATTGCATAATCTGAAGACTGCGGCTGAGTGGAGTGCTGCGACTGCTGCCCTTCTGAAGGGAGCGAGGGAGAGCACTGTTCCCAAATATGAGGCATGAGTGATCGCATGCAGAGAAGGCATCCAAGAACCTGGCTCGTTGGGATGTCATCTTGAACAGGTACCAAGATTTGAAGGATTGTACTCAACAGCCAACCAAAGAACATGGGTGGCTTCCGCGAGTGGCAGCACAGCACAATGAGAGAGGTCACTGCTGAGCGACGAATGGCTGACGAGGTGCTGCTGAGGTTGTGCAAGAATGCCTTAAGAAGATTCTTGATCTCATTGTCGTTTGTAAAGTGTCCTAAGACTGGCATGATTTTCTCAAGTGAGCTGGCCAGTGTCTCCAACAGGGGCTCTTCTGTTCTGCGGGCCATTCTTGTGATGTACGGTAACAGGTTTTGAACATAAGCTCTGCCTTTCTGAGGTCTGGAAAATGTGCAAAAATTATAACACTTCTGTTGGGACTTTACTTTTTTTTGGTGGATATCCTCAAAAAGGTTAATTCACAACAGTAGTACTGTACCAACTACCTCAAACAAAACACTTAGTACTAGATCCTCTTCAACATATATGACAAAAAATACATGTACATCATACCTGATATGATGACACAGAGCGGCGAATCTTGTCAGTGCTGCCCTTAGACTTTTTACGGATCCATTCTTTTTTATTTCCTTGTATAGCTCAACCTGGATCTTACCAAGCTGTGTCTCTGAGAGGCTCTGGTGTAGTGAAAAATTCTAATAATTTTCCTATGATAAAGTACCAAGTATATACAACACAAATGATAATAAACGTATACATATAATATATATATATATATAATATATATATATATATATATTATATATAGATTATAGATAGATAGATAGATAGATAGATAGATAGATAGATAGATAGATAGATAGATAGATAGATAGATAGATAGATAGATAGATAGATAGATAGATAGATAGATAGATAGATAGATAGATAGATAGATAGATAGATAGATAGATAGATAGATAGATAGATAGATAGATAGATAGATAGATAGATAGATAGATAGATAGATAGAGATAGATAGATAGATATAGATATGAATGTATATATATATATATATATATATATATATATATAATATATATATATATTATATATTATATATATATATTATATATTAGGTATATATATATATAAATATATGTATATACGCACACATTTGCATCCTTTTTCTACTCAAATAAAAAAAAACAATCTTAATTACTTTCATTAAATATTACTTGTACAAATTCTAATAAATTTCTGATTTAAGACAACGTGAACAAATCCTAGTCTTTTACACTGTAAACCAGTAATTTCTATATTAGCAATCACCTCCCCATCAAACAGGTTTGGAAAACCTGTGGAAAATCATTCATTTATATTAGGGACACAAATCTGAGATTATGCTCTTCATGCAAAACATTTTAGAGTAAACCGATGTGTTTTGGGTAACAAATTACTCTTCCCCACTGCCCACTGTGCACTGCAATCATGGTTGACTTCATGCCTCTCTGTTCATGGCCAGGTATAGCTTGAACTGAATCCTTATTGGATGATAAATTTTCTGGGTACACTATCTATAGATAATCCTCACTGCAACCTATAGTCTCCAACCAAAAATCTTATCCCTGAGGTGTTTCAACAACTGCCACACGCAAGGCTAGTTTTGACAAAATGAATGCCCACATATCATCTTAACCAACAGACGGTAATTTTTTCAGAAAAATCTAGATTTACTTCAAAAATGCATAATTTATCACTGAAAGATAAAAGTTCAAACAGCTCTGGAAGATATGGTTATATCTTATTTCAATTTGCATTAGAAATTCAACAGATAAAAAGTGTCTTGATTTTAACTGATCTATATGTAATGTACTGTTTACAATGAAAGCTATGATAGTCCTATACTAAAAAATACTTGGTTTCTAAGAGCGCATGAGCATGCGCACATGCACGCACACACACACACGTGCACAGACAGACAGACAGACAGACAGACAGACAGACAGACAGACAGACAGACAGACAGACAGACAGACAGACAGACAGACAGACAGACAGACAGACAGACAGACAGACAGACAGACAGACAGACAGACAGACAGACAGACAGACAGACAGACAGACACACACACACACACACACACACACACACACACACACACACACACACACACACACACACACACACACACACACACACACACATTTAGTAATCATCATTTTTTCATTGATTCATTGGCTCCTTTCTCACTTCTCTCACTTACTCAATTCTAAATCAAACACCTCAATTTACTCACTCTGATGACTCTGTTGAGAGACTCATTTGCATTTGTCCGCACATCAGGGTCTGTGTCAGCTGTGAGAAGAAGGAGAGTCTCGATGCCCACTGACAACAGCTTCTGAATATCTGTGCTTTTAGCCCCTACGAGAGCATCAGCTATGACAGTACAGGTGGCAGCTTTTTCCTTTGTACTCAATACCTGGTCTTTTTTACTGGAAATATAAACCATGACTGGTGTCATATTCTCATACAATGGTTCCCTATATTTGAGGTATATACACAGATTTGCCAAAACTAGAAGATACATAAAGAAAAACAATAACAATAATAGAATTAATCATTTCCTTCCTTTTTTAATGAAAGATTTACAGCACAAAAAAAAGTAGAACCACTGCACTACACATACCTGAGGAGCCCCTGACTCTGTTGTGAGAGGGAAGACGCCAAGGATGCCATGGTGCTGGTGTGCTCCTGGGGTCGCTGGTCAAGTCCCTGGCTGCTCCCACCGGGTACCGAGCCCCCGCCACTGGCTGGGTTCCCCTGAGACAGCTTTACTGCCTCAAAGGCCCGGACGAGCTTTTCCAGGGCTGCCATTACAGCCTTGCTTCCCTTTGAAAAGATGATGATAAGTAAATTGCACTTGCAGATGCAGAAGCAGAATATAAAAGCATGATGAAAATAACAGAAAGGAGTGATAAGTGAAATTACTGAGATTGATATGAAAATCATAAAAAGAAAACATTTTACATTAATGCTTCATCATCTCATCTTTGCAAAATGCTGGCAACTATAATTTTTCATCAATTTGCACTTACATATATTACTGACCATTCCTTTTTTCTCAGCCATCATTTTACATATCCTATATGGTTTCAAATACAGGTACAGCTGAACTAAATGATAAATCTGTGATACTGATTTAATACCTTAAAATGTTGGCCATTCTAACTTTCTACATTTCCACTTTTTTAGTGTAAAAGGTATTGGCAGTGAATAAAATATCATTCAGTACTATGATACTAAGGAACATACTTTGATAATCTTTGGTGGAAAAATATTAATTTTGCAATGAAGCTATACGATTCTCTTTATATTTGATAAGACAGACACTATCCATGTCTTCCATAAAGATAAGAAAAATAATCTCAATAACATTCCCTATGATTCTGTAAGTAGCTTAAGAAAATAGAAGGACTTCAAAACAAAAATATTCCTTTCACAAAAGTTTAATTACATAAAACACAGACTTTTTTTACAATGTAGCTTTAACAAGCACTGCAAAAAAGGTAAACAAATCCTGGATTTAGTACAAATCATGAATGTATTCTTTCTGATATACTTTCTCATAATCATCTAATCAAAAGAATTTTATCATGAAAATTCATTGGATGAAAATTCTCAAGAAGTCTTTATCAACCTTTTTATGAATAACTTGCTTTTTCTAAGTAAGTATACCATTAAAGCACTGTTCATACTTTATCTTTTGTCTTATAGATCCAATGAATTCAATCAGTAAATTTTAAAAAATAACAAAATAAAGGAATACATGAACATTCTGCAATAGTTTGTGTTTTGGATTTCAGTCTCCTATTAAAGGTAATTCCTCTAAGTTTTTGACTAATGCCGTTAAGAATAAATTAAAGCACACGTTAAAACAAGAGCAAATGAAAATTAACAAATACAAACAAGGGAAATAAATGGGAAATACTAAAGTAAACAAGTGTTGATTGAGAGAGAAAATCACACAATTCTCATTTTAATATTACCTATGCGTGCATTTAATACAAATCTAAGTAAGAACAAAATATACACTAAATCCGACCTTTTCCACCATATGACACCCTAATTCAAACTAGAAATCAACCCGAAAAACAAAAATCTAAAAAAATATATATCTAAATACCAACACGATCTCTAGGAATCCCCTGCAAAACCTTGTATTCAAACCACAACTCTCCCTTATTTCCTTATTTCCTATGCCTACACCTGTACCAATAGACTTCTCTCACCCTCTCTCACCTAGGGAGTTCCCCGCGGAGTGTGAAAAAGGGTGAAAAAAGGGAGAAAAATCATGAAATAAGTGATGCTTCTCCTCCCTTCACCCTTGTCAATATGGCACGCTCGCTTTTCCTATTTCTTTTATTTTTTTCCTATTTATTTTTCTGAAGAAGAGGGATTTTAGGATAATATTACTTCGTTTATTTTTCTTTCTCGTTTCTCGCCTTCTTATGGGTATTTTGGGATTAATTGGAGGAGATTTGTGAATTTTCTTTCAGTTTATTTGGAGTCATGTGATGGATGCAGTTGCCAGGTGGGGTTTATTTCGGGGTTTAATTCTATAAAATAAAAGTATTTCGAGTTTAATTTTGTGGATTTTCTTCTTATTCGGCTTTGAATGGATTCTATGGTAATGGTAGATACACCAAAGACCCATCCCCGGAGAGAAAAAAATCCGAAATTAGAAGTGGAAAACCGACCTGTCACATGATGGGAGAAAACGGGAATATCCACAAAATCGCTTAAAATCGCTCTAAAATATCCTTTCCTCTTCTCTAATTTCATTTATCAACACCGAAAAAAATCAATCTTTCTTTTGAAGTCCTAAAACAACAAGAAATACGAGAGGAAAGAGGCAAAATATACGTTTTCTATGATTTTGTATTGATTCTGCCTCAGTCAAGATGGAAGTTCAGACTGTCAGGTGGCTCTCCCTCTTCTCTCTCCTCTACACGGGTAATTAGGACCCTATTTGTGCCGTTCATTTGCTGGATTTGTGTACGAGTGCGTGTTTAATAAGTGTGATTGCCTATCTTTTAGTTTTGGTTAATTGGTATGGAGTAAAAGATGTTTTGTGTGGAAGGGAGCTCAGTCACTCTTGGATGAAGTTAAATGTTAATAACAGTTTGACAAGTTTTCTGTTACTGTATCTCTCCTGAATAGCTTTTACAATTAACCATATTATATTTACGTATTAGAAATGATTTATCCCGAAAATAAGTAAATCAGAAGGAGGAAAACCATAAATTGATCTTGTATTAATTTGCGAAAGGGAATCTTAGGGAAGTGTTTTGGTAATTTTGCACAAAAGTATGTTTAATCTGTAAACAGAATTGTGCAGAGATGATGTTAAACTACGATAAGCCCTATACAGAGCACGAGAAACAACATATATTTTTTTAAGATACCGTAAGAATGTACATCACCCTGCAGAGAATCAAGCAATGACCGTAGCATTCGTGCTTTCTGCATACTGACAAAAGCAAAAAAAAAAATGATTATTCTGGCAAGCAAGAACTTGGGATAATGTCACCGAGAGTGATGCATAAGGATAGAGGGAAAAGGGTACTGCCATCTTATGGAGCATAAGAAATAGTCACCAATAACACAGATATATCTTCAGCACCCTCATATTTATCGCGAAATGATGGAAAATATCTGTTGCGTATCACTGCTCAGAGGCTAAGTCCACAATGCCCTAACACAGCCAGAGTAATGTTGCAATTTCTATAAGTCTGTTTTCTATAAGTTGGCAAAAAATACTAATAGAGGTGAAGTAAGGGGGCCTGCCCCTTGGTTTAGGCAATAGATAGAAGGTAGGAAAGATTAGGTTTGGATTTTTAGGTTCGCATGATAGCCTTGTTTTGGGACTTGGTTTTTGGAGGGTGCATCACTTCCGGTAACAAATACCAGAACTTGTAATTTTCTGTCATATTTGTAATCAATCTAAGTTCAGTCTTGCAAAGTATATTGATAGATAAGTATTAGCCTTCACCAGACAGCAAAGGTGCATACTTACCGGCTGTTGAGGTCCTAAGCTCAAGAACTGTGTTGCCTATACTGATTAATATCAGTGCATTGTATTTGGTGCATATCACAGCAACATTTATTGCTATCCTTTTCTGTAAAATTACCTCATTGCTTTTTAACCCATCCCTACCGGTTATCTTTGAATGTAGAACTCCTTATTGATAGGTAATAGAAATAACAGCGAGTACCCACTGCCTGATATTCATACATGACCCAATCAGAGTGTGAGCCAAGAACCGGTGTCTTGCATAAGCGACTGCTTGCTACTATCCATCATGCCAGAACAGTAGTGGAATGCATATAGCAATAGATGAAAGTTGTTATAATTCTCATCTGATTACATATACTACCAGTAACACAGCATCACAGGACCAATATACAATTGCTACTAAAATTTAAAGATGAAAATTTGGTAAAAATAAATGAACTAATTAAATCTCTATGACAATGCAGTTGGTATGAGTTGAAAGAGACTGACGCACATAGATAGAGGGAAATGAACACAGCCATCTTATAGAGTTGAAGAAATAGAGTAGGGTATAACATACTTTATGCTGCAGCTGCTTTATAGTCACCACTAAATGACGAAAATATAACACGCAGTCGTCGGTTAGATACATTGATACCATGTTTGTCAATCTGGAGATATGTTCATAGCTTGTCAGGGTTGAAAACAGTTATTTGTTTAAATATAATGGGAAAATTATTTTGACAAAATCCATCTTCTATTTGATTGTATCTGATTTTCATATTATGATATATGGTGTAATTATAAAAACTAAATTGTCATTACTATGGAAATAACAGTTTAATTTCCTCCATTCCCTTGCTGTTGTTGTTGTGATGGGGGCTTAGGAGACAAAGACTTGAGGCCCTTCTTTCCACTTCCTAAGATATGAGGTTTATGTTGGAAGGAAATGATTGGCTTTGGATTAGTCCTGGCCTAAGGGAACCATGGGCACAGTAATCCGATTTAGTTATCTAGCCCTAACTCCTCATGGGGACCCCAAAGGGTGAAACATCTCACTTCCCCACATACTCCAGGCTTACCATGGCCAATAATGATTTTGTTCATTTATAAGGGCCATTGAAGTATTCCCCTTTATGAACTATCTCTACAGACTTTAACCTATTTGGTTTCCCAATCCCTGGTTCTCCTTTGATCATGACTCTGAACACTGCTACTACTATTCCCTCCTTGATACCTGCTGTCAGCTTAGTCCATCCCAAGTCACCCATTACCCAACTTTCAGAAAACATACATTCCTCTCTCCCAACATCCTTCACTCCATCAATCCATTCTCCACAGTCCTTAATTTTCAACCTTCTCCTTTGTTACTACTCTCTATCTTTATTGCCCAACATCCAGCTGTACTACCTCACTCAACTCCCTCTTCCTCCTGTCCTTGTACTTCAAATACTTCCACCACTACAAATCTTTTGAGTACTCTCTTTAGCTAAGTAAAGTGGAATCAGTTTTTTGTGATTCCCCTGCAGCTCCTTACTCTGACAGTACCATTCTCTGCCAATCAAGGCAGAACAGTTTCCTTCCACAGCTGTCCAATTGTTTATGCCTCATGCATGCATTATATACCCTGATTGACCTCGCTAGCAAACCTATTCCTGCTAGCCTCACTTCTGCCTTAATACTTGTACCAGAATTTTTTCCATCTCCCTGTCTGTGACAAAGGTTGGTCAGACATCCATCCTTGGAAGCTTGAAGCAACACTAGACATAAAATGTGGAAAGTGCTCGTAAGATCTTTATGGCCAGACTGAAAGGCCACAGAAACTAGATTAGCTTGAAATTTTAACCTGAAATGGACAAAGTAATCTACTTGTATTTTATAACCAATATATCTAGTATAGCTATAAATTTTGCCAAGTTTTACTGGTCTTCTGTATGACTTACCATTAGTTTGATTCATTATTTGCACCAGTACCTAGTCTCATAGAAGGCTTATTTAAGGGTTGAAAAAAATGCCAAGCGCCATCAGCTTTTGTAAAGCAGCTATAGTAGGCCTATATTAGACAGTAAGGGGTGATGGTGTTGCCACAGATGACCAGGTTTTTAATCAAGTCAAG